AGGAAAGGAAATGCAAGGGTGGTTTTGAGTGCCCAAAAGCCATTTACCTTGTCTTACTCGAGGAAAGGGTCATATGTTGTAATTAAATGCTACTACAAGTTTACAAATGCATATGGGTATATTTTTGAAAGTTGAAATAGACTGTTGCAAAACTAATAGACTGACACTTCATTACTCAGTTTTTAAATTTATTGTTTAATGTGTAATCTGCTACAACTTTTGACCCAATATTTTTTAACAAGTTTATGAAAGTGTACATTTATGGGTCATAAATAAATAAATGTATATTCATAATTAAGTAAACATATACATGTTTCCCACAATACAATGCATTTAATGTGTTACCTGTTACAACTTTTGGCCCACTTCTTTAACAAAATTATGAAAGTGAACATTATAGGTCATCACGAGTAAATAAATGTTGGTTTATTAGAGCGGTTTTCAACTAAGTTTCGAAAGCAATCAACAACTTTCACTGTACGCAAAATCCCTGATGCCCTCAACAATCAATAACTGTGGTTTTGGTTTCTCCATGGTTTGAGATTGGCTGAGTAGTCTAATTGCTAAGTGATTAGTTTGGTTTTGGTTTTACAACACTAAATTGAAAACCACTCTAAATAAACAAATAAATAAGTGTTTCCACAACACATTTGAGCCACATATGGCCTACTGCTTTGCAAGCCTACTTCTAGTGCTGCATGTGATTAAATATCTCTGATTTTTTAAACCTATGTCCTGCTGTCACCTAACAGCTGCGGCAAAACTTTTCCCTACTCAACACTCTGCTGGATAAATTTCATAATTGGATCACCACAGAATGTACATTTTCTATCAGTGAGACTAGCTTTTTCTAGATTGGAGTAGCAAAACCTTGGGTCAGAAAACACCCTGTCTGGGATGTATACAGCAGTATGCTTGTATGTACTAAGGTTGAACCCTTGTTCAAGAAGCCACACAACATTACAAACTCATGCTTGAAAATCTCATACCAGCGCCTTTTATAAAATGTATTTTCGCTTAGTTTTTTCAAAGCAATATGTTTTGCCTCCCTTCCTTCCCATTGTTACGATACCAAGCCCTTGCCCATATTTCTCATGTAGCTCTTTAGTGTGGGCAGGAATGATATGTTCAATTGTCCACACAGTAGGATTTACGGAGGTAGGGAGAAACAATGCATTCACCTGATAATAGTCACGAGCACTAATGCTCAGTTCTGTAACCTGTTCAACAGTGATATCAAACCTACTGAAAAGTGAGACACAATCCCTTAGTCTAAGCCCAAGGTATGCAAAAATCAGAACTGTTTTCCTTTGTTGGTGAGAATCATTTTCACTACTAAGCCATTTAATCAATCTCATAAAATTGTGGCAAAGTAGCCTGGAATCTTTTCCAGTAAATCTATACTGGAGATCCTGACCCTTACCCTGTGTTTCGTCGTACCACTTCTTTACCTTTCTTGCCAAACATTTGGCCTTTACCTCAAACTTCAGTGCAGTTACAGCTCTAGAGACAATACTATCATTCGGAATGTCTGCAAACTTTTTGCAGCTGTCTGGAAGATTACATTTTCCAACTGCCTCTTTCAGAACCCCCTTAAAGAAATACTGCCAGGCATTCTTAATATGTAAAGGCTCCACATGGGCAAGATCAATCAATTTCCCAATTGAAGGCACAAATTCTTGGTGACTCTTCTTATGTGCAATAAATTCTGTGACTTTGCTTCGAAATTGTTTCTCCTTCAGTTGTTTCTCGGATAAGGATTTTTTAAATTCGTCAACCTCATTTGCAATTTTGATCCTCTCTTCATACTTCCAAGGCTTCCACATGGTCTGTGACAAACTTAAGTGAGATAAAAATGTCCCCTTTATGTCAATGCAGTTGTCTTTTGAAACATCTGCAAAAATTGAGAAAAATCTTGCACTATTGGGTAGTTTACCCCCAGCATAGCCAACATCTTGATGTCATTTGGCACATTTGAAGGTTACATGGAAGCCCTCAATTTCAAAGACTTTTTTCTCTATCTCACTAATTTCTTTGCACAAGAACTGACAGTACTTACACACAACTGCCGAAGTTTCCTCACAATTACCCTCAAAAATAATAAAGTTGTCATTGCTTGATGCAACCCTCTTACCAACATTAATAAAACTTAACAGAAAGGAAGATGCACTCTCATTCTTCCTAAATGGGCAGCCATCCCCACCCACTGCAAATAAAAAAGTATACTCAGTTTGCCAAACTACTGAAGGGTTTCCTTTCTGTCTTTTCTGAGGTAAAATTTTGCTAAACATGGCAAATACTCAATTAACTTTCGAAAGCAACCTTGTGTTGTTTCATCTTCCATAACACCTTAAAACTGTTCTTCTAATTTGTACACATTTCCAATGCTGACCTGGTTGATTCCTTTGACAAGCTTGTTATAGGGCAGCAATTTTGGAATAGGGCAGTTTGGCATCACAGTAATAGCTGACCTCCCGTTTCCCATTGTTTCCTTTTTTTTCATTGATAATGCAAGTCTTACAGACTTATATTTCCACTTGTCCATTACACCACTACTATAGAAAACTGCAATGCTTCTCTTTACATTTTCCAGGGAGCTTTCAAAAGCTTTTGAATTTTCCTTAAATGCAGGTGAGACTACCTTCTTTGTTAAGATTTTCTGACTTAAAACATAATCTTTCATCTTTCTTTCATTTTGTCTACTTTACATCGTTTTGCTAAGGTGTCAAACATCCCGTGTTTGTGCTAAGCTCTGCCTTCAAACTTCTACACTGTTCCACTGCTTTCTGCCTCGCTTCGTTTCGGGCGTTCACAAAGGCATTAACATCGCATCGACTGTTCTTAGCGTATGGCATAATGCTAACAGTTCACCTAGTGCGATATACAAGACACTGTTATGCATTTAGCAAAACAAAAATGATACGATTCTTCCCTATGTCTCAAAGATGTAAAATATTTATTTTAAATGCTGTTGTTTGGAAAACTGTTAAATTCTTTCTGAGCTGAAAACTACCTTTGTAATGTCGAGCAAATCTACGCCATTACACCAAGAAAGTCACTCGTAGAAAGTCCGTCCTTCGATAGCAAAACCATGACATGTTTGGTATCTTCTGAAAGCTGAAGGAACAACCTACCATATTCTTTTGCGAATGAAGCTCCACAGCTTTCCCAGTGAAACTGTGATACGCTGAAAAAAACGATTATACCTTGTCTTGAAATATGTGTTAATTCTTGCTTTTATTTTTAGGATTAATGCTGCCGTAAAACCCATGACACTGCAAGAGACATTGAAAGCCTGCAGCTCAAGCCTCTACCCCAATGTCCACACAATTCTGCACCTCCTGCTGATCACCCCAGTCACAAGAGCAACTGTTGAATGTAGAAACTCTTCACTGCGCTTTGTGAGAATGCTTATTGCAGCACCACAGGAGAAGAACGTCTAAATGCACTGTTGCTGCTCTTTATTCACAAAGACATACCTTTAAATTATAATGCAGCTGATGACAAGTACGCCAAACAAAACCAGAGAAGGATGACATTTATCAATCCACTGCAGTGATTTATTTCGATTAATACTGGATGTATAAATGCAATGCAATGACTCTGTTAACAGTTCGCCTACCACTAGCACTATGATTTTGCTTTGAAAATCATTTTATAAAATGCTCTTTAATTCTATCTTCCAAATCGTTAACGTTACTTTACTTTGCATCACGAATACACCCACAATGCTGTATGCTGCATCTCCTGAAAAGTGAAGTTTTCATTTGGGGGGGAGGGTGGGGGACTTGTCCTCCTCTTTCTGAATTTTCTGGATCTGCCCCTGCAGACTGCCACACTTCCACACTTCCAGACTCCACCTGAAAACTACAAAATTATACAGTAGCTTGTGTTTAATTATGCCATAAAACTAATTCCCTTTTGGCGATGTGTTTTGTGTTCTTCTACGTGAAGTAAAAGCCAAGATGCTGCTAGACATGAGACTACCGTATTTATTTACCTATCAGCTGAACTACTTTTTTTCAGAAATTTGGACTTGTATCGACCAAAAACTTTCCAAACAAAGGAGTTTGGCTTATAGCCTAGAGTTTGATTGATTTTTTTCTTTCTCAGGTGTTGAGAACTTATGGAATGTCATGCAAATTCTGTGATCGGCTTGTAGCCAAGCCAAAATCAGTGAAACACAATATATTATAATATTATAAAGACAGGATGAAATTGTTGATCAATGAACTTTTAAAGATTTGGTAGTTCCTAAAGGAGCCGTTTTTTGAACAGCTTTCAACTGATAAACAGTTAACTCGCCATCACTCTCGCCTTCACTCTCCATCTCAAACTCATTGTCTTCCTCATTGTCGTCAGTTTCCTGTGCCTCTTCAGTGTACAGCTTGTCATCCTCAATTCCATCCAAAGAGTTGGAGATTCAACAGGTCTTGAAGGACTTAGCACCCATCTCCACTGGAATCTCTCGCCATGCTTCATGCACCCATCAAAGTACAAGATTTCTCCATGGCGCCTTCTTCCCAGCCGGAGTATAGTCAAACGGGCCACTGATCATCCAGGCCAAGTACTTTCTTCAGACATTATTTTTGAACGGCTTGTTCAAGCACTTGTCTAGTGGCTGCAAAACAGGGGTCAGGCCACCAGGGATAACCGCTACATCAATTTTCTGCCGGTCGAGTCAAGTCAGCTCGGAATGAGTCCCACACTAACAGCGACTGCTCATTGCGAGGTGTCTGCGGCAAACACTGGCGAATCCACTCCTTCACACCTGCCTCATTCATCCACCCTTTCTTGTGTGAAGAAAAATAGAGGGACTCCGGAACGATGTGATCTTTCAGACTCAGGACACCTTTAAAGATGACCTTGGGTGGAAGTTTTGTTCCATCTGCTGCAATGGCAAGTGTGACAGTGAAGCTCCGCTTTTCTGCTCTGCGGGTTTTTACCAGAATCGTTCAGCTGCTAGTGAACTCCAGCGAACGCATTGATTGAAGTTTGAAGTGCATCGGTGTCTCATCCTTGTTGTAGATCCTGGATAAAGGATAGCCAGCTCATTGCCTGACTGCTATGGTGAAGTGGTGGAACTGCACAGTTTTCTCCTCCATGTCTTCTGGCAGTTGCTAGGCTAGCATTGTCTTCGCACAGAAGCTCACTGAGTGTTGTTGTTTCCAGTTCTGACACCAGCCAAGGGAAGCCTTGAATGCAGGATTAGTTGAAAATTCTTTTGCCTTCAGGCGCAGCATCAATCCACTTACAGCAAAACCTATGAAAATAAATGAAAAACGATGTAAATGATGAAAACTCAAGCGATTCGAGAGTTTGTTTACTTTGAGCTGACAAGCGTTGTTAATTTGTTATGCAAAGTGCAAATCTGACCAATAGGAAGTGTCAATTCCCACGCTTGAAAAACAAACTCACGTGCGTTTATGGTCGTGAACGTGTCTGCAGCTTATCAATTCTTCACTCAGCGCTCCTTTTTAAACAATTTCAATACAAATCAGCATCAAACATTTACTCACCTTGATCTCTTTGCTCGGTGAACCACCCCAATATCTGCTGGTCTAGCTCAGAATACTTTGGGGTAAAGCGATCCATAGTTGTGTGTTTCACTGACATCTTCAGCTCACGGTTAAAGAGTTTGGTCTGATCTCTGCGCCAGCGACAGACCATGGACTCACTAAGTCCGTACTCTCGTGGCTTTCATTTAAGTATATTTCACTTATAGTGCAGTTAGGATCAATTAGTATTCACAAGTGCAATGTTTTACACCAATTGGCTAATTGTTTACAACTAATAAAAGGCTTCTGATTGTTTCTAAAAGGTGTGACTTTATTCTACACAATAACTTTCAACATGTTTCCTGAGAGGGAAGGTTTCTTGAATAAATGCTCAAGTAACCTTTTGTTAAGAGACCTTGGTCTCGGCTTATAGCCGATATCTTTCTGATTTTTTTCTGAAAGCTTTTGCCCACTATCATGTCTCACAAGTTTAGGGTCTTGGCTTATAGCCAAGCTCGGCTTATAGGTAAATAAATATGGTAGCTTTCAAAGAGGCTAAAGGCTGCATTGCTACAGGTATTTATACCTTTTGTTAGTTCCTTTGTGGTGAATATAATTTGCTTCCAATTTGTAACATCTTGATAATGTCCCTATTATATGTAATTTGCAACAGTGCTGCTGGCAGACTGAGCTTCAGATATTGCCAAAGTCCAGCTACATGTACAAACTATTCTTTAGAATAATTGAACAATTTTACACCATCCTCTGCAGGTTTCATTTTACACTTGCCCTCTCTAGATAGTGTGTCTAAAATTGAACACTGCTTTCTACTGATTCCTTTACAAAAACGAAATTTCCTTGTTGCATGGAATTTTTGTAAATGAAAATGATGATTTATGTTCCGCCAATGAAAAGCAAAGTGTAGAATAAAATAATAGTTATATAAAGTATAAAAATGCAATTATTCAGACACACCTCACAGGCCTCTTGTATGGCTTTGTTTGTATTAGGAAAGCCCTTCTACTATTGAGGATGTGCATGGAGGCCCAAACGGATGACCTGGTCAGGGGATAGATCAACTGTTGTCTGACTTGTTTGGTCCAGACTACTGCAATTATGAATACATAGAGAAAAAGCACTGTGTCATGGTTCCAGGTCAATTCCCACTCATGAAGTATGATCATAACGAGTAGGAAAAGTCATACTATTTCAATGTTAATAGTGACAGAAAACCTTGTGTGGACCATCTATTTCAGACAAAAAGTTGGGACACAAAGCAAGTTCTCCCCTTCCCCCACTTACAATGTTGATAATCAGGAAGGGAAGGGGAATAGATCAGGACCTTTCATTTAATCGCCAGATTGAGGAGTTATGCAAAAAGTTGGCAAAACATTTTGGACTCCTTTGTCACATAAGTCCTCATTTGAAATGCAATCAACGAGACATATACTACTCTATGATCATTAAACCTGTAATGCTTTACGGTAGCACGATTTGGACTTCTTGCAGTAAAGAAAATCTTTTGAAAGTCCTACGTCTTCAAAAATGTGCAGCTAGAATTATCCTCAATGCTGAAAGAACAGCACCTTCTGTCAGGTTATTTAACACCTTAAGAGAGCTTGACTGCAAGATTCGCATTGGCTGCGGCAGATGTCAAACACTCAAATTTCTTCAAATTACCTGAAACTTATTTTATGTAAAAGGGTCCCAGGCGCTGCAGATTGATGTCATTTATTTTTAGTATTTTTAAAAAAATTGCCTCAGAAACGGAATTAAAAGATAGCGAGGTAATACTGGCGTAATAAATTGGGTCTAATTTATGAGCAGATTTGTTGTATCAATGACAGACCAATATTACTTCCCGATGCAAATAATTTTATTTACTATCAGTGACATGCTTTGACTTTACAAATATAGCTACAAAACCAATGAACAAGTTGTCAATTTCCATATGCAGTAGTTCAAATAGCTCCTAGTAAGTTTCACTTTACTGAAAATGGAAAAAGTCACTCAACTGTTTAAGAGTCAATGTCAGTAATTTTCAACTGGGGCCGTGCAATAGCGAGAAAACGAAAAATCTGAAAAAATTTCTCAAGATAGCCCTTGGTGAACTATTTCTAAAAATATATATTTTTCCTCGATCCGATAAATATTTTGGACATACGGAGATAAACTTGGTTTCGCAGCTCTCAGACCAGATTTTAGGCGTCTGATACCGAACACCGCTGAGACCTCCTTTGAAAATCAAAACACCTTTTCC